AATATATTTTTTCTTTCCTCATTGGACTACAAGATATAGGATAGCCAAGGACATCTTGGGCTGTCAGTCCCACATCTGGCATGTCATATTTTAATCATAAGTTTGCCAAAACTGGAAAATTATCATTTTTTCCTCTGTTTCTAATAGAAAGTAGTTTTAGAGTCTTGCTTCCCTGATGGTCTGAAGCCTTCTTTCACAATCCAGCCTGAATCTATTCTTGGCCGGTTCACACGTATTTGTTTCAATGCCAGCGTTGCCAATACCACTGCCAGGGTGAAACAACTCATTTTCTTCCTTGGTATTTAGGGACAGCAGCTGTAGGCCTTCTGGCTCTTCATTTTATTTAGCTTAATACTTTAAGCTCTTTGACTCTCCTTCTACAAAAGAAGTTTTCCACTTTTCAGCCTGTGCGAGGCTAGCACAGAAAGGACTTACTTCATAACTTGAGGCAAGACCAGCATGTCAATAATATACATTTCTGCTTGCAGAAACTTCTTTAGCTATTACATCAGGTTGGAGATTGCCACGAGGTGAAAGCATTTGGGGTCAAAGGGAATATGGCTACTTAGGTGCCTGAAATGCAGCATCTTCATCTCTGAACCTGGGAAAGATTGCGGTGAGCAGCTTCTCTGGAGCAGAGCTGACAGTCATCTCACTGAGTCAATACAAGTTCACCAGTTTAGAGGAGTTGAGGATCAATCTGATACTTTTATTTTTCTAAGTTTATCTATGTTTACCCTTGCACCTCTTGTGTACCATAGAAATGACCCAAGTGACGGAAATCATTGTAACAGAAAATAGAAGAAAATTTATGGGTAAAATGTATTTTGAACTGTTCTAAATAGATTTAGGAATACTGTGTTGTTGAATGCAGTCACAGTTTATTTTAAACCCAAAATATGAGATCTTCATTGAAAGAAACACAACAAAGTTCTTCTACCACTTCCTATATTTTATTATCAGGGAATAAATATGACAGTCTTTTAATATGTAAGATTATTATGCATTATGACTGCAACTTCACACAGTACCTGTCTTAGAGGTGAACTGCTCTCATTATCTCATTTGCCAGGACAAATTGGTTTTAGGTGGGGTTTTTTGGCTTTTTTTCCCTGTTAGAGTTTTATTAAATTACAGTCCTCTAATTCTTGTTAATTGAAATCTTATTTGAAGCTTTTTTTTCCGTAACACACAGCAGCTCCAGGCCTTCTGGATGGTGCAACAATACAAAATATTTGTTTAAAACAAGTTTTCAAAGTGGCTTTTGTCTAATCTTTGATTATTGTATGTGTCTGGTGTTATGGTTATAGAAACCTGAAGATGAATTTCTGAGCACCTAATTTTCTCCAGTCTCCCTACTGGGACTTTTGCTTGTCCAAGCAACTTCTGCACAGCAAAAGGTCACATAAGAGGGCAAACCAAATTGTGGGTTCTTTGTCTTACACCCACAAGCTTATAAACTCAAATTTGGAGACTATGTTTTAAGTCATAGCCTTTTAAGTTTCTTTACCTTTCTTGAGAAGATTAATGTTTGAGATTGTAATGCATAATATTTGAATTATTCATTTTAATTAAAATTGATTATGAGAACTAATTAAAAGACACGCAACTGGTTACTGGCAGTGTAGTTGGACTACTTTACAAAAATACCATTTGGTGTTCAACGTTAGGCTCATGTTGATTTTAGAAATTATATTCTATAAATAATAAGGGGCTATAATTAATTCTGCATAAGAATTTGGAAATCTAATCTTTCATTAAAAAATATTAAGCAGTGTTTTCTGGTTTTGGAAAAACATGGATTCTCTTTTCCTGTAAAGCTTAATGCCATCTAAAAAAGGCTTATAAATATCCCTAAGTCATTTCTTTTTCTATATATTTTAAAGTGGGATTCATCTGCCTTGCCATCTCATCACCCTTGCTGGGATATTTTGGGAAGATAGCTAGAATCTAAATAAATAAATTAGCTTTTAGAAAAATAAACATTGAAAGCGATCCTCTGGATCACCAAATCCAGGAAATCAGTTCTTGCTACTATGGCAAATCTGATTACAAAAATCGAGTTTCACCTCAGCAATGGGTACATTGTTGACTTCACTATTATCACTCAGGAAATTGCTTCAAATTCTCGCTATTCTTATAATTGGAAACCCTCAGATTTCCAGTCTAAATGTATTAATTGCCAGTTCATGCTCATTTTCCTTGAAAAGCTCTTTATTTGACCTCAAATTGTGACTTGATGACTAATTTTGAGAGCTATGGTGGGAATCCATTATCACCTGCTCAGAAATATGCTCTCAATGCATTGCCTAATTTCCACTACATGAAATATGGTGTCACTATTTCTATTCTGGTTGAGGTTGTTGAAAGGAAGAGGACCAAAAGAAATTAATAAAGAAAGAGTTTTTAGACATTTTAACCTAAGACTTGAGTAGCGATTTCAACAGGATGGATAGGTGCCAGGGACTGTGAAAGCTGAATTTAATAGCTGAAGGTGAACTAAGATGTCCTTGCTTCTATTTGTGGTGAAGATATTGCACTGAAGGGAAACAGATTGTGCAGAGAACAATAAATGAGACATTCTGTAGAAAACTTGCCGTCCTATGTCTTAATTTAGTTGCAAATTTTCCATTGAGCCTATTATTCCGAGAAAATTTGGAGTTTTGACTATGTAATGTTTGTTTGTGTGTGGGTTTGGGGGTGTTTTTGTTTGTTTCCTGAAGTTATATGCTTCCTGGAAGTCCTACATAATTGTCGTTCCTTTGAGATTAAATTCTACTGGTGTCAGAGGGAAGTTGAATTATATTCTACATCTGTATTGGGAATCAATTTCCCCAAATAAGATCCTTTCCAAATACAGGAAGGCTTTAAGGCTATGTTGCAGATATTTATGTTACTCACCCAGGCTGAAAATGTTTGAAGAACACTGTCAAGGAAGGGTCCTATCTCTTGCTACTAGGGGAGTATTAGTGGGATCTTGGGATCTTTACATAAAGATGAATTTAAAGTCTTTGATGTGGATCATGATGTTCACCTCCATTATATTTTCAAAGACCAGACCTGTTCCCAGTGGAATAGCTTACACAGATTGTAGAATTTTCTTGTCACCCATGTGTCTCATGTGCATTTTATCCCTCTATGTTGAATGAACTCGACTGGAAACATCTCCTAAGCAGTGAAGAACTCTGACCCACATTTTCATGGGACCAAAAATGCCTTCTCAGACAGCATGGTAAGGTACTGCCCTCCAAAAGGTGAGGGACGTACTAAAGACTTGCCTCAGAACACTTTATACCAGGATCCAGGGGGAGCTGGGTTAGCAGTGTCAAATGCCAAGGATATTTGGAGAAGGAAGAAACCATAGGTTAGTATCAGCTGCATTCTCCCTAGTCAGGAAAAGGAAGAGCAGAAGGGGAGAAAAAGGTTTTTAGATTTAGGCAATTCTGAGTAAAAGAGCTAAGAGACAAATTAGATGTGGGTCATATTTTTTTATTAAAAGAGGAAAGCTTCTATAAATAACTGTACTGATGTCAAAGAATGTAGTGTTGAATTGTGAAGACCAAAAAGCCCCAAACAGACAGACTCCAAAACATTACTTTCTGTATTGTTGGGTAAAGTTAAAGTGATCCACAAGTTGCAAAATCAGTACATTTCTATTACTCTGAAGAGCTTGGAGGTGGGGGATGTTTTGCCTTTATGCTTCTGCTGCGTGGTAAGAAGAATAGTGGATGATTTTATGTTTCCTTCAGCAATAGTAAATGGATTTGAAGCAGCAACATTCTCTCTGAAAGGACTGTAACACATAAAGAAACCCAGAAGTCTTTGTATTAAAAAAGAAGGGTAAAATTTCATGTACCCTGAAGTCTTTAACCTCCTTGTGACTTCAGTTCCTTATACACAGAGATTCTCTCTACTAGTAACTGTTGCATTGCCACTGATTAAATGAGCAGTTGAAATCTCCAATAAGGCACACTTTTATAAGGGATGTTTTCATGGACTTGGAGACAGTTATAGCATGAGATATTAATTTCTAACGTACCTACAGTAATTATCCATGTTCTGCTGATGGTTATTTATTGTTTAATTAAAATGCATGCAGGGGATAAAAGCCCATTAGGATAAAGCATTGTGTCAAAACCAAAAAGTTGCAATAAAGTTGGAGCATGGAAATGCCTACTGCTGGCTTCTGTATATTTATTACCAAGCTCTGGGAGCAAGCTTCAGAGAAAAAGAAAAGTACCTTACTCTACAGTAACCACCTGCTTCTATAAAATTAGAAAAGAATTTGAATTATGTATCCAGCAGGCCTAACCAGAACAAAGTATGTTCATGGACCAATATGCTGTGACATTAGGTATCACACCCCTGTTAAGGAGCAGTTTTCTTTCCAACCTCAATTCAGTATGAGTGGGGAAGAGCTGATTAAAAGGGAAAGGTTCTGCTAGTTAGAAATGGCAATAAATTTTTCAGGAAAGGTATCAGCTCATACATATGCCTAATAAATTAACCCATCTTTATAGAGAAAACTGCAAATTTATTTTATTCAAAGGTACACTGCTTGTTTTGAATCTTAAATTCGTTAATCTCTGTGAATTTTTACACTTGTCTGATACGGTTTGCAATTCTTGTTCTGATGTATCAGCTGAGGATAATAATCTATTTGAATTTATGAGGAACAGTATCACTGTGAGATGTGGGAATTTGCATGTGTAACTTGAGAAACATGTAAGTTCCTGGGAACTGGGATGTGTGAGTGAAAACATTCCGGTTTTTAAATAAATGATTGTAATCATTTAATTAAAGGTGAATCAAATTCAAGTATCTGACTCATCTCAAGGTTTCTGCATTTTTTTTTTCTGATCTTTCCAGCATAACCAATCCATTCTCACTGCGTGTCTTTTGGAAGGTCCAAAAATTTCTCAGAAGCAAAATCCTTTTACTTACCAATTCCTTAACCTGGCTGCAATTCAAAACAGTGATTTTTACATCACCCCTGCATTATCCCTTTTCCAGGAAAAGGTAGGTATGGGAAGAATGACTTTTAGACATTTCTTTTTTTTTTTCCATAATCCCTGGATGAAGGTTCCTGGATAAGTTATAACAGCTCAATCACATCTCTAAATTGTGCTTAACTGTGGTGGAACCAAGGGGGATGCTCCACAGCCAAGAGTTATTGGAGAGCAGCATGCTCTGATTAGACCCTGTTTGCCCCCTGGCAAAGCTTGTATGTTGGACTTATGTATGTGTATGTCCTTTCTGTCAGCTGGTGCTAGCTTTTCCATGCCAGGAATATTTCTGTGAGGTATCCAGGTCTTCCTGCTGTCGGAGTGGCACAGAGGGAGTAGTTTGTGACAGGGTAATTTTCTAGATAGCTATTAGAAAATTTTGCCAGGCTGTACTCTGGATGCTGCTTTATTCTGAAAAATGTATTTTACTGTACTGCAATAGTTGTTGTGTTGGTTTTTTTTTTTTAAATGCTGGTTTTCTGCACATGCACACATCTTTCATGACACATCTAGAACACTGGTCAAATTCATGTCATCTGAGCAGAGTTGCCTAATTCGGGAGTGTGGGTTTACCTGTTACATCAGGTTGGTGGGGACTGAGACAAGGATAGACTGTCCTCTACAGTAGTGTGGGTGCTTGGGGTCTTCTGGAAATTTTATGCAAAAAAACCCCAATTAGAGAAAGGAGCGTGTTCTCTGCCAGTGCAGTTGACTTTCGCTGCCCTTCTATGACAAATTAGAGCTGTGAACTTGTGAACTTCACTAAAATTTTAAAAGGTGTGTCAAGGTATCATAAACTGTTATTATACTGACACTGAATTGGGTATGGTGATGCAGGTGCTTTGTAGAGTTTTTAAAATTGATGTCTCATTGCACAGCTGTCCTCAGTCATGAGAGAGTGAGCTCACTGAGCTTTTCTGATCCTTTGTACTTGTCTACTCTTACTTCTGCAGTGAGTGGAGAGAGAACAGCCATACTCAACCACTTGTACTAAATTACCTTCTGAAATTTTCTTCACTGACTATATGGGGAGTGAGGGACTCAAATGTGTGTGTTACAGCCTAAAAACAGGTGGACTTGGGCACCCAAATCTTATTTTCTTTCCTAAGATAATGAAAGCTTGTCTTGATTTCAAACATCTGAAGTCTGAATGGCAATCTGAGGCCTCTTACATCCATCTCTTGCTGTTCCCTGAGACCTGATGGTGGCCTGACTTACGTACCTGGTTGTACATGTAACTAAAATTGGTACTGAGACGAATCATGTGCCACTCTGTCTCTTGAGGTATCATAAGAATATCTTTTGATAACCCCACTTGGTTCCTTTGGATAAAATTCATTTACTGTGGGATTTTATCAGATTTAATTGAAAATCCTAAGGGATTCAAAGTAACTGCTCTATGCTACTAGTGCTTTGTTTATAATGCAGCATCCTTAAAGTTGGTATCACAAATAAAATTACACAGTGGCCAATCACTCAAGTAAACCTACTTTTTCTTTTGTTTTTTTTTTCTAATTCAGAAAGCTGGATTGTCATGTTCTCCTTACAAAATTATAGAAATAACTGTTTAAAAAAGAACCTACAGTACAATGGAGGCATCTGTTCCATTTCCATTTCACTTCCCCACACTAGATAACGTTGAAAACAAAGATGCTATTTTTCTCCCTTGTTTGACATCAGACAGGATAAAACGCCTATTACTTTTAATTTCATCATTGTTTCTCTGTAATCAAAAGAGAAACAATGTTTAAATTAAGAACTTCAGCACTCCCATCCTGATTCACAGAGCTGTACAAAGCTGGTATTTTGCTGACTAGTTATTTTAAAACGAGCTGTCATTAGATTTCCCCACGCACAAAGGCTGCCTAGGAAACAAGGTCTCCTGGTATGTAACTACCAGTGAAGGTAATGATTGTCTTGCAGAGTTGGTTTTTTTTTCTTTCAGTGACAATTTTGTACAAGTACCCAGGCAACTGTGAATTACTGAATATTTGTGCGTGCTGATATTACTTTAGAATCATAGAAACCATAGAATGGTTTGGGTTGGAAGGGACCTTTAAAGATCATCTAATCTCACCTCCTGCCGTAGATGGGGACATCTTTCACTAAATCAAGTTGCTCAAACCCTCATCCAACCTAATCTTGAGCACATCCAGTGATGGATCATCTGCAGCTTCTCTGGGCGATCTGTTGCAGTGTCTTGCCACCTTCACCATAAAAAAAAAAAAAAAATCTTTATGTCCTATCTATACCTACCAGTATACTTTTCCAGTTTAAAATTGTTGTCCTTTATCCCTTCACTGCAGATGTTGGTAGAAAACTTCCCTCTGTCTTTCTGATAAACTCCCTTTGTATATTGAAAGGCTGCAATGAGGTCTCTCTGCAGACTTCTCCAGGTTGAACAACCCCAACTCTCTCAGCCTGTTTTCACCTCGCCTGGGGGGTTGTTCCAGTTTGATACCTTTACTTTTATTATTTGTTTTGTTATTAACCATCACCCGCCTCGTCATGAGATAACAAATACCACCTACCCAACTGCCTTCCACTGTGACTCCATTGCTCATATACCCAAACATTTGGCTTCCTTTGGTTGAATCTCCCAGCAATAGAAATCACTCTGAAGATCACATGTCTACAAGAACTTTGAAGCACAAGATGTAACTGAGTGCTTTTTGTCTGCATTTCACCTTTTATTTTAAAAATGGATCAAAAGGACATTTCTCCAGCAGTTCTCTACTTCGTCAGTTGAAGGTCTGTGCAGTCCTGGCCTTCAGGCTGACTGAAAAGTGTTTGGAGTTCAACAGGAAAACTCAGCTTATGTTTTGTTTCACAGAGTTGTCTCATGAAGAAAACAAATATATTAGGAAAAAAATCCATATCAGCATTGTGCAATTTAGTGTACAACTAAATATAAGATGTGCACAACTTGCTGTGAAATTTCTAACTGCTTCGTAAGTTACTTTGAAGAAAAATAGAATTTTTTTTTTTAATTTAAAGCCGTGCCATTTATACCTAGAGCCCACCCAACAGTATGCTTTCTTCCTGACTTTTATTTAATACTGGATGCTCAGGAATGAAGAGAAGTTATACATAAATATAAGAAACAGTACAAGAATAAGGTGATCACTCTGGGCTGTGCACATTTCCTCTGACTATTTTAACTCTGTCTTATTTCCATCTGCTGTCTCCTTGAAGAGCTAAAGTTCATTTATATTTACAGTAATTATTAAGAGACCATTAAGCACTTCTTAGAATATTTTAAGACTTATGCCTATTTAATTTTTTTTCCTTTTATTTTAGCAGATTCTTTTGAAGATGGGCTGACTAAACTGGTATCTGACACTCGAAATGGTGAGTGCACACTGTGTTTATAAAACAGAGTTACATCTACTGGTTTTGTGTGTTCCTAGTAATTCCTAACATCCCACCTGACCACAGCTGAATGTTGGGATGGTGTTGTTAGAGAAGAATCCACAGTGACTCTTCAGTACCTCTCCAAAATGTTGGAAGAAATAAAACTCCCTACGGATCTTTCTGTCTCTCCTTCTTTGCTACAACTATTCCTAATTGTAGCTTTTGCTAATTTACTTGGTACAGTGGTTTGACCAACTGGTCTTTAAGGATCAGATCCACAGATCACTGGAGGCTGAAGAACTATTCTGAGAAAATACTGATATGTGCTTGTCCATATGTCCACATGCTACTGTGTTTTTCCTTTGCACTCTCATATTCTTCCTGGGGCATCCATTGTTGGACACCTGGGAGTAGGATGGAACCCTACTTGGATTGGTTCAAGGTTCAGCACTTCAGACTTACGTGCTCAAAATGCCACACAAGCAGATATCATATAGGGAAACCTACTTATTACTGCAGAGGATCCTTTTATGAATTATTATAAGGATTTCTAATATTCAATTTCTGATGCATTGGTACTGTTGTGTATGAACAGAAATCTTCACTCTACTTCATTTTGGATACAGTTTTATTATTCTCTGCTCATGTAGAGGGACTTTCATTCACCTCACTGACTCAATTACATAGTGATATTTTCTTTTCTGCCTAACTAAATCATTATTCAAGGTGGATGGCTTCTAAATGTATTCCAATTTACGTGCTGGGAAAGAAATTATTTACATCCAGACTAACAAGAAACTTGGGCATTGTTTGACTAAGCACAGCAACGCAAGGGCCCAGACTATAAATTTAGCAAACCAGAGCAGGCAGCTCATATGCATATACAGCGAATAAGGTGAGTTGGATGCCCGGGGCTGAATCACAATAGCCATCACACCGATGCTTACACTTGTCAAGGAGCAGCGCTGAAGAAAGGAGAGTGTTTGAGAGCCTACTTGTCCCCTGGCCTAGAAGAGCCAGATTAACCTGTACACTGACCTCAGAACTTTTTTTATATGTTGTATATATCTAGGCAGAGCAATTTTTACATCTGTGACCAGGCTACCTCATAGTGCTGTGCTATAGGAAATGAATTTTGAAAAAGAATGTCAGCATTTCCTTACGTCACCAAAAAGATAACTTTACATGACAAGGAAGAAATGTTAAGAATATGTATTCCTGTAACCTTATAACAGTTTGGGTAGACAGATCTGACATAATATTCAGCAGATTGCTGTCAAATTTGGGTGCTGAGAGATTATTTCTAGATTCTGTACTCCTGTATAGCACATAGGACTGGAGCGGTGGAATTCTTTTGCAACTGCATAACGTAAGCATCCTTTGTGAACAGCAAAGGCAAATACTGGTCATAGGTTAAAGCCTTAGAAATCAAGGTGATAACCTTCAAAAGGAGCTGCTTCTGCAACAAATGAACCTGCACTTTATGCTCTGTCTAATTAATTGGAAGCTTGCAATATTCTTTCAGACCTGATGTTGGAGAGGGATGGCCATTAGGCATACAAATCAGCGTGTGGTGACCAGGGTTACAAGGCAGGTCGCCCACTTGCACTGCAATGGAAAATGAATTTTCTTTCAACCCTCTTCTCAAGCACTGAAAATTCCCAAGTGGATCCAGACCAGGGCCAATTTATCTCATTAATCGGAGATCCCATGACTTTTTGTACTTCGTTATAGATGCCACAATGTCCTTAGTGGAGTGTGCTGGTTTTGGCTGGGGTAGAGTTAATTTGCTTCCCAGTAGCTGGTGTGGGGCTGTGTTTTGGATTATGCTGGAAAGAGTCTCGATAACACAGAGACGTTTTTGTTACTGCTGCACAGGGCTTGCAAAGAGCCGAGACCTTTTGTGCTTCTTTTAGCAACTCACCAGGGAGTGGGTTGGGGATGCACAAGGAGGTGGAAGGAGACACAGCTGGGACTGTTGATTCCCCCCCAACCCACAGGAATATTCCAGACCATATGGAATATGGTCTTCACGTGTGAAGCTGGGGGAAGAAGGAGGGAAGAGGGGAACGTTTGGCGTGTGACATTTGTCTTCCCAAGTCATCTTGGGAATGATGGAGCCTTGCTTTCCTGGGGCTGTCGGAACACCTGCCTGCCCATGGGAAGTGGTGACAGAATTCCATGCTTTCCTTTGCTTGTGTGTGCAGCTTTTGCTTTCCCTATTAATCTGTCTTTGTGTCGACACATGAGTCTTTCTCACTTTTACCTTTCTGATTCTCTACACTGGGGAGAATGGCAGGGTGAGGGACAGTGAGCAAGTGGGGCTTGGTCACAGCTGGGCTTAAATCACAGCAGTATTATTTTGTACTTCTTTATTAGCATCCTTTGCCCTTCCTCATCCCCACCTGGCAAAATCCCCACTTGACTATTATCAGTAAGATGTCAGCAGACTCAGCTCCATTAGATTTACAGAAAGAGAAAGCTGTGACCATTCCAAGTCCCATCAACATTTTGAGATACAAATTATTCACTGCTTTCCCCATACAAGGTAATATCTCTTAATATTTTTTATAGTTTCTTAACCTTGCTGTAATATTTCTGAAGCACAGGGGAAGGAGAACATGCAACTCACTGCTGTATGTGTTCCAGAATTCCCATAGACATGCAAAACTGTGAAATACAGCTCCAAAATACTGCATTTTCTCAAGTAGGAAGGTCAGATAAATTTTAATCTTTATTTTACATGACTTGATAATGTTAACATTTTCTAAATATGGCACCTGCTGAAGCAGTTTAGTATTAAAAATAATATTTCTTGGAAACTATTGGTTTAAATTTGGAGTAACCCTTGCCAATATATATATACACACATCTATATGTTAAAATTTGGCTGGTTTTTAATTATTTAGTTCGTTGGCAAGATCATCTTCACTGACTTTGTAAGTTCATAAAGTAGTGTATTTATAGTTTACTTTTGCCTTATGTCTTCCTCACTAAGCTTAGTAAGATGTGGCCTCCCTTCCCTATGAAGAGCATCTGTTCAGAACTGACAAATTCACCTTCCTGTTGTGTTCCTTTGAAACATTGCAGAGTGTAAATTCTTCTGTCCTTTTGTTCATCTTCTCTCTCACACTTACTGTTCCTTCTTGTTCTTGCTTTCAGTCTCTTTCTTTGGTTCCTGTGCTTCCCTGTTCTGTGAGGTTGCAAAAGTGATGATTTTATATTTGGAGATTTTTTTTTTCTTTTCTGCATAGAATATTCTAAAACACACCAATTCATCATGCTGGCCAAACCCCATTATTTATGTTTTTTTTTCTTAGTCAGCTGGATCCAAAGTCCATTGCCATCAATGGAAATAACACAGTGTGATCCAGTAGGATTAACTCCAGGATCAGTAGAAGGAGGGAACGTAATTAAAAAGTGTGACCATCCCATATAAAGCAGTGACAGCATTCAAAGTCAGCCTCCCTCTTTACTGGATAGTTGGTGAAGGTAAATTGCAAAAGTGGGCCTACTTATTTCTTTTCTCTGAAGGGTGACACTTGAGATAACTTAAATGTTAAAGAGAAGCCCAAGGGAAGCTTTTCGTGCATAAAATCAAGGTTTGAGGAGCAAAAGCCTATGGAGCTTCAAGTAATTCAAAGAACAGCTACTGAAGAAGTTATATTTACCTTCTGCTCTCTCCTTTCAGCTTAAAAGGCAGCATGAATATCCTTGTCTACCTGAAAATTTCTAGCTAAAGGAAGGAAAAGCAAATATAACCAGAAAAAATTTAGTGGAGTCCTACTGGAAGAATTTAACCCAGGATTCTGCATGACTTAAGAACAAAGGATAGTGAAGAAACTATTGGCATCAATAATTGTTACATTGCATTTTTATTCTCTAATAGAGGGCTATAATTCATTCCTTACCCTAGTTTTTTAAACAAAATGAATATAAAAAATAATAAGCCATGAAAATAACTGATATGCAGAGGTACTTATATATTATTCTTTGCAATCCTGGGTAAGCAGACAAAATTGTTTGAAATTAGTATCTAAACTATGTGATTTTATGATCCAGAAGTACTACTGATAACTAAGGCTGAAATCTAAACTAAGAGGCTAGGAAATCTTAAAATATTACTTTGTCTTTTCACCTCTTTATGTCTCTCTTCATCATCCCCCCTCTTCACCCTGCATGAAGCAACATACATGTGCAATGATTTGTGGGTGGTTGTAAACCATGGCTGATGTTGCCACTGTTGGATTTGTCACTGGTAATTTGCTTGTGTGGTTCTGGAGAACAAGGCCTTTCACCTTCTCTCATACTTTTTATCTGAGTGTGTGTGTATCTGTTCTACATCGTATAATTTACCTAGTCTGGAAAAGTGAAGAAGTGAAGGTAGGTGGCTGATGCAAGCATTTTAGGGAAATCATCCTTCAAACAAGTGGATCCAGAAAAGCTAACAGCATCTCATTATCCCATTCATATGTTCCACTGATTTGGGGCTTTGAAAGACATTTAGTTTGCTGAGTTGGATATAGATTTGCTGTGACAGGAATGGTACTGCCTTATATTTTGACACTTGCAGACTTTAATCAAGTGGAATAATCTTATAGTTGTGCTTTCTCTAAAATTCTGACCGTTTAGCTTGGGCCATCAGCCTTTTAAGATCATTGTTAGTATTGTTTCATCTTGTTGCTAGAACTGGAGATTTTCTGTTTTTTATAAATATAATTTCAAAGCTACCATTCCCAGATATCATCATGCTTTTCTTGGACAACACATGCTCAGTAGATGGTGGAAAAGACTAAGCACGCATTTGCTCCAGTGGCATAAGTGAGGAAGAGACAAAATTGAAGTGCAACTGTCATCAGATATTAAAAATCTGGAGATGGAGAACAAAGCATTGAGTGGTAAGGGTTTAGCCATATTCCAAATATTGGCTTTTTCTACTGTAGATGTCTTGGCCTTATGTCCTCTGAGAGAAATTCTCAGCAGGATCTTCTCTTTAAGAGTAACTTCCTTTTAAATGGGCTCTTACTTCCATGTTGTCTTGTTAATACTGTCCAGAGATTCTTGTTTCTTCTTTAGCTGTATGGATAAATATTTAATATGTGGATGAATTTGGAATAATAACTTCTGCCAGAAGCATAAGATGTCAATATCAGCCAGGTTTCAGTTTTTTAACAGCATCATCCCAACAACAGACTGTGGTCTTTTCACAATATATTCTTTGATGGTGAACAGCACATAAGGGAAAACAATTTCTGGATGCTCTTTAATTAGAGTGACTGATGTTTTCACTGAGGTTTGCGGACAGTGCTGACTCTTCAGTGTGCTTTTCTGAGGCAATAGCTCAGTGACAATTGACGGGGAAACAACACCTGCAATACTGAGAAATAATATATTTCTCTACTTCTGATATTTCTGTGAGCCTTACAGCTCGATCTCAAGGTCACAAAATCTTTTGCCTCAAATACAGAACAGACTGCCAGAGTTTAGGACTCTGCATAAAACTCAAGCCACTGTCCTGTTTCAACAAGGCTTTCCAAATTTAGTTGGCATGGCTGCTGCTGTTGATAGCAGCCTTCAGGTTTGCATCAGGCCTGTCACACAGACTGAAGAGTATGCTTCAGTCCCTTCCTCTCCCTTCCCCAAGAACAGTCCCTTGCTCCTGAAAGCCAGGACTGCTGCACACTCCATCCCTGCAGGCTACAGACACCTCAGTTGGAATCTGCTGCCTTCCCAATGCTGCTGCAACATCTACACAAATAACGTCTTCTGCAATTTGCCTTTTAGCTTTTCCTCTGTTCTACTGCACAGTCACAAGTTTGGACCATAAAGCTTTTATTTTCCCTGCTTTCAGTCCACATATTCCTGTAAATCTGGGCTGCAACACTGTGCCTTCCAACACAAGCTTCACCTCTACATAGACACACTTTTTATTTCACGACACTTGGGCCTTGTTCCCGCAAAACAAGCAGGTCCCTGGGCAGAGGTTTGGGAACTGGATTGTGTTGTTCAGGGACTAACTGGATTATGGGAAATTGTGAAGCCCAAGTAGAGGTTCCCATAGTGGCAGAACAGGAGCTACCATCTGAATAGTTTGACCCTGACTTCGTGGCTGATTTGTGGTTTGGAATAAACTGTGTCTCAACAACCCCTGTAGCTACAGCTCCTGTTCTTATACTCCTCACTAACCAATACTCCTCCACCAACTGGAGTGACCAGTAGTGTCTGCAATGCTTGTGGCTAAATTTAAGCAGGATTTGCAGATAAATAATTGCTAAAAAAAAGAGAAAAGGTTAAGGAAAATAATTTGTCCTGAATCTCTTCAAATGTTCAAGCTGAAAAAAGTGATTTATTTTTTTCCCTAGGAAATGGAGCATTTTGTCTCGTCATTCTCAGATAAAATGTTTTGATGTTTAGTTTTGAAACAACAAAGACATATATCTTCTGATTCATGTTTTTAATTGGCATAAATGATTTCTTTCTGAAAGAACACTGAGATCTTGACTGTTTGATTTTCTCTAAGGATAAGTCTTCATTCATTGCTAAGTCTGTTAGGAATCTCCTTGAGTTGCACGGTGTCTACTGTGATACAACGCTGAAGCCTCTGTTACTCTGATCTACCATATGCTTATTTACTCTGCAAAAAATCTGTTACTAACTTAATGCTCAGAAGCATCCTTTGTCTCTATGCTAATTCACTTCTTGGCTACTTAACTGGCACAGTGAGAGTCAGTTGTAATGGATTTTATATAGACTGGAAACCAGACTGAGGCCCACATTTGATTTTGCACAAACCATTCTAAGGAAGGTAGAAGTCTAATAGTGAATAAGGGGGAGTTGAGTGTTTTTCTCACTTGGAAGTATTTTAATACAAGAAAAATGAAACTTTGACCCCAAAAAACTTGCTGAACACAAAAGTATGAATAAGTAGATTAGAAATACTTTTAATATCCCACTGTCAGTAGTTACTGTTTTTTGTCAGACGCACGCATCACGCTCTGTCTCATGGCGATCCCACATAGTTCTTAAGGACCCTTTCTATTAGGTATTTGTCCTATCAATTGTCAGAGGCAAATTAATCTCTTTATAATGAATAGAGTTTCTCTTTTGGGTCAGGAAAGCTACAGCAAAATTTTAGAAGCCATGGTACCATTCCTTCGCATACATATGTCATAAAAAGTGATAATTTTAAGCTATATTGAGGATAGATTTAAAATAACTTCAATATAGAAGCCTCATATTTTTCAAGATGTGTGAAAGCTGAACTTATTCACTGCAGACTAAATGATTGGGCTACTTAGTTTCATTTTAAATTTTAGATCTAAGAACTACTTTTAAAATAAAGCAGACTGAGTTTGGGATGCGATGTCAGAAGTAAGAATTGCACCAAAAGCTTGTGTGAATAAAGGTGACTTTAAGGTGCCTTTGTATGACTCAGATGGTTGCTTGGGCACTGACTCTGCTCCTGTAATTACCCAGAGAAGTCTCAGTGCTGATGAAGGAGAATGAATGATACAGCTGAAGATGAAGTAAAACAGTTCAAGAAAGATTTAGTCTTAAATTAGTGTAGCTACTAGGAAGTAGGAAAGGCACAAATACCCAGTTAGTCTATTTAAAACTCTTCCAGCTCCAGAGTCTTTTAAACCACAGTCTTAAAAATGGGTGCTCTATAAGCAGCAATGAGGAATCAGCTCCCAGAGCTACTTCAATAGAAATGAGCAAGAACTGTGTCAATCTCCTCAAGTCTTAAAATTTCCAAAGCAATTATATTCAAATTCAGAAATTTTGGATGCTTCTAGGAGAAACTATCATTAAGAAAATGTAGACTACATTAAGCATGGCAGGGAGCAGTTTGATCTCTTTATACAGACTCGATTATATTCTTGTTAGGCACTTATTCATGCTGAAGCTTTTTCTGCAGAAACGCCTGCTATCATAACAGCATGTTTAAACTGATATGCCTCTGAACCTTACAACAGGAAAATGCAACTCAGTAGTGAGTAGGCTTTGAAGTTTTGTAAGGACTCCTGTGTGTTTATGACTACCTGTCTAGATAAATTTATACAGAAGTAGCACTAAACTTTATTCTTATGTGCATCCTATTGTTAATTTAAAACCCAAGACATTTGAAAGTTACCTAGTCACTAATGCAATCCTGTATTCAGGGAGAAAAAAATGGACATGAATGATGCAACAAAATCCCAGAGGACACATGACAAATTCATAAAAGTATTTTCTGATGGAATTTGTATATTTCCCTGTGTGCAGAGGCACTTTATATGACTGGGATTAGTCCTTTGTTTGCATTTTTTAGTTTAGGAACAAGAAAAAGTGAGGCTATGTTGCAAAAATGTGAGCTGCTTTGTGAGCTGTAAATTAATTGACTCTTGAGTGTTCTGTGCTACTGTCTTCAATCTGAAAGACAGAGGTGCTCTGGCAATGCAGTTGTTTCCAAAAGAATCTCACCAGTTCATACAAAATTAGAGCTAGTGGAGAAGATTCACTGCTGTCCATTCAACTACCTTCCCCAGACATGTGGCTGGGCCTAGTTCATGACACACAGTGGTTCTGCAAGGCAGCTCTGACCTCCCTTTTGATGCAGTTGGGGTGTTGAGGCTAAACATCAGAGTCTTCTACTTTATTGACCAGGAAAGATGACAAGTTTGGATAGGAGAAAACCTCTCTCTCCTTCCCGCTTTAGAAGGTTATAAACAAAAAAAAATTATCATGTATCTCATCCCTCTTTGTTTCCATCAATGTCTCTCTCCTGCTCATATACACTTTCTTGGCTATTTTCAGTGTCTTCCCTGCTCTCAACTTTGAACTCAAACAAATTATCTTTGATTTCAACGTGGAAAATGAAATATGGAGTTTTTTAAAACTTTGAACTGCAGCTCCTGGTTTTACCTGGTACCATTCTGTCTAAATCCATTGTTGTGCCCAGACTACATTATTTTCTGTAGCAATTATAGCATGATCACTATTCTAGAGCCGTTTTGAACATACAGACTTCAAATGGTCTTCAAAGGGCTTGTTTGCTAATATATCAATCAGCTGTGAATGCCCTACTCCCACTGTGACCAAAGAACCACATTAACTTCTCTGATGATGCTCTTTGCTGGTGGTAGGTGCCCTTTGATTGTGTCTAGGACAAGCATTTCTCCTTACTGTTGACAGCACACCTGGTCACCTATTGCAAACAATGCTCAGCCAATCCTTCATTAAGTCTTTAGGCATCCATCCTGGTTTTGACACCCAGCAATTATTCCAGTAGGCAGCTGTTCCTTTGGCATTGTTTTATGCTTCGGAATCACATATGGTGGCAATTTCATACCATCTGCTAACGCTGCCAACACGACTGCGATGTGCATTTTTTCATTGCCCAAAGTTTTTTTATGATGATGAATTCTGTGCCTATTTTTTTCAGTGGTGTAGCTGGGTGGTGTGTCAAAACAAACTGGAGTTTAATTGGCATTACCCAGTTGGCTCAGCAAGTAATTGTGATCTCTGCATAATCCAGTCACATACTGCAGGAATGCATTGATTTTTCAAGTTGGAAAGAAGGTGTAGGTATAAAGAAGTTCCTCACTGTAGGCAGAATCCATTGTGCCCCATCATTTGTACACATTGACTACTACTTTCCTTGAATTCTCTCTATGCAGTGTTTTGTGCTTTTGCTATTTCTTGATCTTTCAGTTTAATGATTTCCTATATGAATGGATTTCTGTCTTTTCTTGGGATATGCAACAGTTCTACAACTTATTCTTCTACTTCGTTAAATTTCTATTTTGGGTGCATTTCCACATTATAACTTAAATATTTATACATATTTTATATGTCCTCCCACCACCACATATCTTTTTATTTCTTTTTTTTTCACTAGAGGTACCACCAAGCTTAAAATATGCATTGTATATCTTTTGATCCCTTTCCTGTTGCACTCATTTTTCTCATCTCCATATGATCTGTTATTTCACACATAAGATTCAGGCAGATTTATAAAACTGTGAAAGATCACTGTGGCTTTCTGAGTTACAGTACATCACACAACTTCACAAGTCAGTGAGAAAAACAGCTAACATGCTAACACCATGTTTTATTTAAACTGAGCGTTGCTTTGGGCATATTCTTGCTCCTTCTTCACTAGGAGACCTTCCACAGCGCACACTCACTTTACCTTCACTAATCCTAAAAGAAGATGAACCAATTTTTGAAGTGGAACTACTTGAGGGAAAAAAAATTGTCCTGTGTTTTTTTTTTGTTGTTTTTGTTTGTTTGTGGGGTTTTATGTTTTGGGGTTTTTTTTGTTTGGTTGGTTTTGGGTTTTTTTGGTTTTGTTTTTTAGGTTTTTTTGTTGGTTTTTTTTTGCTAAATTTGGTAACTTGAATTTAACTATTTTATTTTGAGTATTTTTTCTAGGCTCACTTTATAATGAAATGCATTTTCCGTTCTCTCCTAAAAATGTGGAAGAAGTTTCCCTCTGTAGCTGCCTTACTATCCCCACTTGGGAGTGTAAATGACTCTGCACCTAAACCCAACATTTTAGACCACTGAAGTTAGATAGAACATGGACAAACAGCCAGGGGGACCTTATAGCTCTCTCCAACTACTTGAATGGAGGTTGTAGCCAGATGGAGACAGTCACTTCTCCCAGGTAACCAGCAATAGGATGAGAGGAAATGGCCTCAAGTTGTGCTTAGGACGGGTTTAGGTTGGATATTGGAAAAAATCACCAAAAGGATTGTGAAGCATTGGAACAACCTTTCCAGGAAAGTGGATTTAAAAGAGGTGTAGATGTGAAATGGAGGGACGTGGTTTAGTGGTGGACTTGGCAGTGCTGGGTTAACAGTTGGACTTGATGGTTTTAAATGTCTTTTCCAACATAGAGAATTCCATGATTATAGTGAGGTGGGGGTCAGTCTGTTCTTCCAGGTACCAAGCGACAGGACAAGAAGAAACAGCCTGAAGTTGCACCACAGGAGGTTTAGATCGGATATTAGGAAAAATTTCCTCACTGAAAGGCTGCTCAGGCATCGGAATGAGCTGCCCATGGAAGGTGTGGAATCATCATCCCTGGAAGTGTTCAAAAAGTGTGTGGATGTAAGACTTGGTTTAGTGGTGAACATGGTTGTGCTGGGTTAGTGGTTGGACTCAATGATCTTGGAGGTCTTTTCTAGCCTTAATGATTTTATTATTTTATGGTTTTCCTTTTCCATTTCTAAAAGGAATAGAGTTGTGGGAAAGAGATCTGGAAATACAAGGAAGAAGTGAGACAATAATGGAATCACGATTTAAGGGAAGTTTTAGGGCATTAATTAAGTATTGAAATGTTAGGGTGTCTCTGCTCTTTTCCTCCACGCAGACCTTGGGTTCTTTTCTTTTTTTTCTGAGCAAATATATGCAAATGCAAGCTGGGGTTTTGTGTCTGTAAATATATGCCAGAGTGTTTATTGTTTTGTTGCCAGTTGGTTTTCCCACTGAGGCCTCCCAGCCCCTGTATTTATATACTTTTCACACTGTAAGGGGATCATAGCTCCTTGGGAGACACAGTGCTAACATTTCTGCCATGCAGAAAACAGAGAAACAGTGGTAGGCCAGAGCTGATATATTGTTAAAATACCTAACTTCATTATGTGGGAGTCTACTAAATCTTTATTTTGCAATCTGAATTCAGCAAGAGGAAAAATGATGCTGAATCATTTTCTTTCTCCCCGGGAACAGTCTCACGCTTGCTGCCTGTGCTTTGTAAAGGCTGCATACACAGTTAAGCACCTTTAGCATTTACAGATGCCTTTACATTTACAAATGCCTTTATCTTCAGAAGCATATTTGACACACTAGGCTGGCTTACAGTTTGAAAAGCCGGTGAATCATTCTGTGAATAGCTGAATACAGAACGTTTGAAACAATCAGTGACAACTTGCCAGGGCTTGGGCAGAATGCTCCCTATTGTAAAAAGGAGCTGTAGAGCAGCCTGTGAAACTCGAGTGGTCATCTGATAGGAAATGAATGCAACCAATCTCCAAGGAGCTCAGCAGATATTAACAACACCAGTTGCCTGTAGTCATAGTGCAAGTTATCTCCCTGCATTTGACTGAGCTTCTCAGGTTCTGCTTAGGAATGAAAGGATTGCTACTTTCGCTAGTCTTCATCTCTTAAGTATTTTCATATTTAGCAATGGTAGTTTTTTGTTGGTTTTTTTGCTATTTTTTTTTAAAATATTAGACCTATTTATACAAATGCACTTTTTTGCCGAATTTGTGAAATCATCATAAAAGCTACAAATACAGGTAATTCCTGATTCATGTGACATTATGCAGGATTAAAGGTGAAATCCTATTGTATGAATATGTGCAGAGTTATCTTTTTGTTATTAAACTGTTAAAAGCCCACAGCTACTAAAAGAAAACAAAATTAAAAGCTAGTGACTTGACTTCCCCTTTCTTCTCTACATCCTCCTAAAAAAGGGTGACTTATCTCTGGGTGTGAGATGTAAAGAGATTGGAGGGATGTGGGTATAAATATTTTAGCACTGCTACAAAACCTTGGTTATTCGATTTACAATTAATTGAACTGTTACATTGCTTCACATCTCAAAATCCTAAGTTTCTGGCATTCTTGATACATCTGTAAGATTTGGGTGGGGAAGAGTATTTTCCTAAATCTATTGAATGTAGATTCTGACTTGCCACCCTGCTGAAATCCAGTGTTAACTATTGCTTTGACAGCCACACGCTGTAGATGAATACTGTAAAGAATTAACCCCGAACAAGCTTTCAGATAAACTGTATTATCATCACTCACCACTGAAATGGAAGTGCTGCTCCAGTAAAACAAAAAAAAAATCAGCAGTTATCCAAGTTTCATCAAGAAATATTACAGTTATTGGGGAAAAAAAGTAAGTAGGGTGAACTCTCTTACACTTTTGAACTTACGAGCAGAGTAATAGAATTTTGCACACAAGAGCAACGGTATTTGTTATTACCACATCTCTTCCTCTTTACTATCATGGTACATATCATTGTATACCCAGACTATTGGTGTATTTATTAAGTATTACCGTGTTACAGTGTAACAGAGCAGAGTGCTCAGAGATTCAAAACACAATGACTGTGAATGAAATTAGATGCCACTACTAAAGGACTCTTCTATATTTCATTTCTCTGTGGCTTATATGGGTATAATCTGTGAATACATATGAAATTATGACAAAAGATATATCCTGTGCAAATGGTGATTATATTTCTCTGTTATCAGGGTGTCTAAAAATGTGTAGTTACGTATTCTAGTTTTTGCCCTACCACATAGTTTGATTTATAGATATTTGGGGGATTTTTTTTTCTGTGGGAATTGGTCTGAGTCATGGTCATAGAGGAGGAAGAATTAAATGGATATATTTTTTTTCTGTTCTGGTGAATTTCCTTTAGAGATCTTGCAAATCTTTCATGGAGCCTGTCTAAATCAGCAGTAAATGATGTGCTTTTCTACCAGGTGGATGTTGAATTGATTCAGAGGTGATCAGCTGCTGCATCATCTTTATTTTCACACATCAAAGGTAGGCATATTGCAAGCAATTAATCATGCACTTGTTTATTGTTTTGGAGTAAATGCATTTTACACACCTTTTTGTTGCTGATTTTAATTTAATTACAAATCATCCCGGTGTGTATCTGTCATTACCTGAGTGAACACAAAAATGAAAGGATGAGAGAAAAAAAAGAAGGGTTTGCGTCTATGGTTCTGGTAACATTTGAAACATGGGGCAACAGTCAGGTTACTTAGCACTGGTATTTTTAAAACAAACTAACTATTAAAAGTGTTTACATACATATTTGGCTACTAATATAAAAATATTTTTGTTTTACATGAAAGCATTTAGTCAGTCCTTGGAAGCCAAGTCATTTTGATCTGAGGGCTCAGTTTGATGGGGTGGGGTTTATCCAGGATGGGCCGGTGTGGTGCTTAGTTGTCATTGGGAACAACAAGTAAAAAATAAGGGATATTATACAATAATTCTTAAAAAATGTTTTTTATTTCTTTTGTGTTCTCTGCCTACCAGTGTAGATATTAGTCCTTGCTACTATAACTATTTCCTTTCACAATCATGCCCCCAGGCTGCCTGTTAATGGCTGTGGCAACAGAGATCCCCAACAGAGAGTGTTTCTGTGCCTCTAAGGTTGTTATTTCACATATGGACATGGTTTTCACCACAATGTGTTTAAACATGAATGTTAAAAAATATATAGGTGCTATTCTGTGGGAACTTTTCAGTTGCCCACTGCCTTTTTGTTGAGAACAAGGATTGATGCATTTGCATTTTAAACTTTTTAGATTGTGGCAGATAAGAATTCTTTACAAAAACCCAGAGGCAGCAATACGATTTTCATCAGTTAAGGCTAAAACAAGGTTTCTATTTTAAGTCTAAACCCTCATCTTTATGGAACAACCCAACATGAAGCTCTTATGGTATCTTCATGAAAAGTGAAAATTTATAGAAAAGGGAAATTTTGAAACCTTTATATTAATGG